TCTGTACTTAGTTGTGATGAACTAAGTTCTCATGAACCTTTGTGGGAAAAGTACTGCGGTGTGAATGCGCATAATCTTTAGGTGTCTCAAAACAAGTTTCAATCCCTTGGAATGTTTTATAGTCCCATAAATTGAGATTTCTCTCAAACGTTGGAGCTGAACTCATGAATCCAGTAGTTCTGCCTCTTAACAAATAGTTTGCGTTATTCTTGTTCATTTCTCAAACTTTAGTTGCGCAGGATGGAACATTTAATTTGCTTGTCATTTTGAATTTTCGTACTCGTCATCAATAAACTGCAGAGAATCTTTGGGGTCCTCATTCTCCACAGCGGCCTCCCCTCCAGTGTGGTTATTTCTTCCGTTGTTTGTTCCAGACACCAGGGGCTTGCCCTCTGTCGATACGGGCCCCGGTGCATCCTGGTAGGTCACTTTGGAGTTCAGCCCCCCCTGCTCGGGGGTCTCTTGGGATTGCTCTGTATTCTTCTTTCTGCAGTTCCAGGGCAGCGGTAGATGGCCTTTGTAAAAGTTCCAAGCCAAAAGGGCAAGAAGAGAAACTACAAGGAGCCCGACTACGACCTGCAGTCCAGCCAGAGAGTGGCCTTTAGTCTGAGCCTGGGTAGACCCTGTGTCCCCCGGGTCAGACAGGGCTGTAGCCTGGTACTCTGCCACGGTGCTCGTGTACTGGTCAGCTTTGGAGAGCTCCACAGACAGGCAGCGGTACCGACCACTGTCGGACTCTGTGGCGTTCAGGATCAGCAGTCCGTCCTGTAGAACCTGAATGCGAGCTGAAGGGGTCAGAGGCCGGCCGGCCCACTCCCAGCTGGTCTTTGCCAGGTTGGAGGGTGGAAGGCAACGGAGATTCAGGTTTCCTCCGTGCCAGAAGGACCTATTCATAGGTTTCACAGGATCTGAAAACAAAACAGGTCCTTCACTTACACACAATTTAAATTTACCAATCCACAATACACCTCAATTATTGTTATGTAAAAGATTAAAATTGGCAGTAATTCATGTTTTTGTTCTGGTGTGATTTGGCCACACCCTCTTTACTGTCGGTGACTGTTAATGCTACACCTCCTACGATACTGGGGGCATCAAAACACATTTAAATAAAGGAGTTGGTTATTAAAAATTCCATATTTGCTCTCCAAAAACGCAAAACAGTTACAGATGTTTTGCATACACATTATTGATGATCAATAGTAGAAACATAATGCATTTACTGTGACTTCTAGATTATAAAAGTAAACTTTAGCTGTACATTCTTTTGAATGTGAAGCTGCATTATTGGGAAAATGTTTGGTTTGCATTAGCTGTGCCTTAATACAGCAGTTCTTCCAGGAAAGTCGCAACAGGCATCCACTTCTTATAATATCAATATTTCTTACAGTATTTCTATTAAAGTGGTAGTGTACACTAACTCACCAGCATCAGGGCACAGAGAGGCATCTCCTTGTTTCACACTTTGGATTATTTCTCTAAAGCAGAGGATACAAGAATGACCATTTAGTTTTGATAGACCAGATATCGACACTGCATGTACTTCATGTTGGGAAAGAAGCCTACCGTGTCACATCAGAAAGGACGACACATTTCCCGTCAGCTTTGTCCCAGCCGCAGTATGGGTCTCTGGCTAGAACACAGTCCATGCAGGATAGGGACCTCCAGCAGGAGGCCAGCGGTATTTGCGCTGCCCCCGAGTTTGAGCCCGCATAGAGCTGACCCTGTACACAGTGAGACATCACACAGAAACACAGAGCCATCACACTGATGTTGGTGCTTTACCGTTATATACAGTAAACACACACATTCAATTATTTAAAGAAGCAAACATATTTATAAGGGCTACGAAAGAGTTTTAAATTACCGTGACATGAGAGAATTTCAAAGTCTTGATTGGCTCTGGAGGCTGGAAGAGTTGCACTTCCTCTATGATGAACATCTCGTCATCGTAGTTCACTGCTTTCAGCATTGTGCCTTCCTCTTTTTAAATAGAAATATAGAAATATGCTTTATTTATATACTGACACATGACCTCACACTTATCACTGTTGTGATGATATCAAAAGCAGCAGAGGGAAATAAAGAAAGGAAGTGGCTGTCAGCTGAACTGAAACCCCCACCTGTGCCTATGAACATGACATGGTACTTCTCTCCGTCTGCGGCCTGCACTTGGTTGACTATGATGCGTGTGAATGTGGCTCCCCTTCGCACCAGAACAGGCTTCTCCCCTATTGGCTGGATAGCTTGGTCCATGAGGGGCCTATCTTTGATAAATTGAAGGGTCCGGTCTGGGAGGTCCAGAGTCTGATTTATGCCCGCTTTACGAGCCTCATTGTCTATGCACTGGCGAGGGAAGAGGGGAAGGAAAGAGAAAAGAGAGAACAACGGAGTCAGAATACAAAAGGAATCAGTTTCCTGCTGGGACACTTGTAAAAAAAAAAAAAGAGTTGCCTTTTGAGTTTTGCCTTTGTTTTTAAACACACGCACACACACGTTGAATTCTGGGCAGACTCACAGCTCCGGGCCGAGGGACGGGGACATCTCCGCTGTACATCACCCACTTAACAAAAGAGGTTTCTACGGGGACTGGGGTCTTGTACTTCCCCATCGCAAACACTTTGCTGATGTCTGACACGCGGTACGCACACACTGCAGACAGGCCTGATGTATCCCTGAAACACACAAAGAAATGTGAGCCAAGTGGTGTGCCAAAGCCCATTAAAGAGAAAGAGACCCTGCTCCCTCAAACACAAACACGTTTGTTGATTCAAACGTACGACTGGGGTGTGAAGATGGCGTAGAACCAACAGTCCTTCCAGTGCTGCTGCGGGTCACACAAGCGGTAAGTGTCCTGGATAATATACGGCAGCTTAGACTCCAACACGGGACAGTCCATCCTGGCCTTCAGGAAGGATGTCCATTTTTTCTGCAAGGTCCTCAGACCTCCAAGATCCCCCTGTGAGCACAGAAAAAACCTTGTAATGCCACATTGACAAGTGGAAAATACACAAAGAGAAACGGGATGCACAATCAAGCAGCGGAAAGCGGACTGAGCGCCACTGAGGAAGTGCTGTTTATATGTTATGGTCGTTTTGGGAAATGGACCTGCGACAAATAATAAGTGCATGCACGCTAAACTCTTTTTCACCTTGCAGACCCGGGCCACGCGGGAAACCACCAGTTTGTTGTAGCAGTCGCACTCCACAGCGGACTCACTGAAGAACAGGTAGACCTTGTCATCATCTCCCTCCTCACTCAGATCACTCTCTGGCATCTGAGCCATGGAAACAAAGGTGGGCTCTGGTATTGAAAGAAGAAAAGAACAGCAACTTTGACTGAGCTACTAAGAAATCATCAAGATGAGACTGTTCACCTCAGAGCAGGAGTGTACATTTTGTCTGCTACTTTTTTGGTTTAGTTTTAGTCCCGTGTCAAATGTCCCTTTTAGTTTTTCTTATTACATTCAGTCAACCTCATCCTGTTTTGTATGCCTCCTTAGTTGACTTAAAACCAGGGCATTGTACTCTGTAGAACAATGGTTCTCAACTGGTCAGGCCTTGGGACCCACTTTTTCCTTAGTCAATAGATCGAGACCCGACATTTTGAACCACTCTATTCAACAACAAAAAAATTGCGCCGTAATATATACGCTTCTCAGCACACAATATTAATTAAAGTGAAGTACAGTGCATATATCCCTTCACAGAACTAAAGTATGCTTTTAAAAAAGGTTTAATGAAATGATGGAATCAAAGTTGAACTGTATAACATAAAAAGGCCCCCCAGAGGGGTCTGGGGGGATTCTCCCCCAGGAGATTTCTAGAAATACTAACATATAAACTTCGCATTCTGGTACACTGAGAAGAAAATAAATACATCTATTACTACCTGACATATTAATAATATGTTATGCCATTGTTTGTTTTTCACTTTGTTCTGACATTTTGCTGCGAGAAGAGTAAAGAGGAGATAGTCTGTGTGACTTACTTTAAATTGTGGGTAAGGGTAGATAGCTCCCATTGTTCTGTGACCTGTCAATCATCAAACCGGGGTTCATATTTCATTATGTGTTCAAATTTATCTGAATTTGTACCCATGGATGTATAAAGAAGAGTTCTACCGCAAAGTTATTCTCCGTGGGGACTTCCGGCAAAAATCTTGATTCTGATCTGAAGTTTTCAAAACCGTTTACGGTCTCCGGTACTTCCAGTCCAACGCCTACTGCATGCACAGCGTTATAAAATCCGGCCTTCAAAGTAAATTACACTTTTTCCCC